GTTATGAAAATAAACCCGGATGGAGAGCAAATAGAGCAGGTACAAGAGGTTTTCGTGCCCCGGAAGTTTTATTTAGAGTTGAAAAACAAACAACTGGTAAGTCACATCTTACCTCGGCAAACTTTGCAAAAAGGCTTTTTAATTTAATTGAATCTATTCAAAAAGCGATCGATATCTGGTCCGCGGGTGTCATCTTGATCACCATATTATCACATCATTATCCGTTTTTCAAATCAACTGATGACGCAGATGCATTTTACGAGTTGGGAATCTTATTTGGAAAAAAATTAATGCACGATCTAGCAACGGAACATGGTACGAAACTTTTTGATTTAAGTAATTACATCATATTATTGACAAATTAGTAGAGAATTTACGATTTATATTTTAAAGAAAGGTACTACCGAACCGATATTCCCCTGATATACGACCTAGGACTGCGATTTGATAAACTCTTGCACACGATGAGACGAGATTTATTTCCTAAAGATAATATACAATTGCTTAATGAAATTTACAGTGCTATCGATTTGTTGACAAGATGTTTAGAACCGTACCCGAGTAAACGAATCACGGCTATTGAAGCACTCAAACACCCTTTTTTATCAAGTTAACATTTGTATAATAATATCAATGTTAGCAATTTAGATAATTTGTATATAAAAAAATTTAAAATTGCTATTTAAAACTTTATAGATAGATTTAATAATAATTTTTCTAGAGTAATAAAATTGCTTTAATTACTATCTTTTATTAGCCAGTAGCGATAGCTTTATAGTTATTAAGAAGATTTTTACGCGTGTGCTTCTCGCTTTAAACATGAGGAAGAGATAGTGAGGTTTCATTTTGATCAGCTAATAGAAAACGGGCCCCATGCTCTTAACTCATTAAAACGACACTCACGACTCAGTTTATTTTTTTTATTACTTAATTAGTCTAACGAGTAGGTATAGGGCAGTGTTGGTAATTAGTTTTTGGACACCGTGTCCAAAGCAAAACGAAATTTAATTGGCTTTGGACAAATATATATATACTGTATATATATCGATATATTTTGTGTCCCAAATGTCAATTTGTCCCTAAAAAAAATTAATTTGAGCCAGGTGTTTAGATAAACTTTAGTAAATTGACATCTGAGCCGGCCGTCCTAATTGACAATTGAGACAAATTTAGTTTGGGGCACAAAATATATATATCGATATGTACGGTGCATACAAGCTAAAGACAGCCACTAATTTTAAATGACTACCACTTTTTTTTAAGCAAATTATTTGCCAAA